GTCTAAATCTTCATAAGCCTACTGTAGCTATGTAGGGGAACACACAGAATATTTGAAAAATTTATGTATCCTATGTAGATAGGTGAGCATAAATGCCATGGCATGAAGACAGTTATGTGATGCACTTACTGAAACAACAAATAGTTTTTTGTAAAGAGTGATAAAGAAGTTGACAGCTCTCAAGTAACTTTAAAAAGTGTAGTAGTGGTATTTTCTGGGAAATGAAAAGAGAGCAATGTGGAAGCTATTGTCCAGTAAATGTAGCTTCTGTCCATAACAAGATAAAAGAACAAGCCAGGAAAGAAAGCACCTGTGAAGATAATGGAAATGCAGTCAATAAAAAGACCCAGCTAGACTCATTTTCCATTGGTTCCACCGGGTAAAGGTCATAAGTCTGCCAAGAATATAGCTAGTGCAATATAAATCACCTCCACGTCATGCTGCTTTGCAAGGCATAGAACCAGTTAATGAAAGGAGACGGACTGACTGCAAAGGCTACAGAGCCAGATGAGCAAGATGATGTACAGTGTTTCAAGCCTTACCTATGCACTTCCCACTGACTGATGGGCTGTATGGTCCTAGCTGAACTTCAGAATTACTCTCCAAATGGGAAGCTGTAACTATCTATGTTACTTCTTCCTCCAGTGCAGGAACTGGAAATTACTATGTACCCTGCATCTACTTGGTAGGCATTTGTCCTCCAAAATGCTTGTGTGTCACAGAAGGTTTGGAAGTTTGGAAATGCTGAAAGAAAGTAAATATTCCAGAGGAATTTCAGCCATACTGAGCTGTAAAATGTAGAGCTGCTCTCTGAAAAAGTTCACTTGAGCCTAATTTTATGAATAGATTTTCTGAACTTCTACAGATACTCTCCAGAAAATTTATTTCTGATACAAGCTGATTTTTCTGTCTTTGAGAGAGGGGTTGTTTATGAGTTAAAACCTATCTTTATAAGTATTACCTCACTAGGTCCTCTCTTGGCATCCTACTCAACTCTTCCCGAGCTACCAAATAAAATTTGTTTGTCTGAAGTTCAAACAGCTATTCCCCAGAAACCACACTAAAGTAGGACACAAATATTTCAGCATTTCATTGGGTATCCTTTCACAGGAAGTGTATTTTACTTAAGTTATTTCATACAAATGTACACAGCCAAATTTTCAGTTAGGTTTTACCCAGACATTTAACTCTACGTGTTAAAAAAAATATATTCTCAAAGTGAATTGTGGGCACAGAGATTTGATGATAGTAAATGTCTGCCTGATTTGGACTATAGCTGAGAATACAAAATCTGCACATAAAACACAGTCATCGTTTTATGAGAAAGTCTCTTCATCAGTGGTCTCAAACTAAAGAATGAGTGATCAAGCTGTTTTTCATTCACAAATGGAAATAATTGTTAAACTGAAGTTTAATTTGTTGTCCTTGTTAGTGACTGGCAGGTTTCATATGTTAACAGCTCTAAAATCAACAACCTTCCCAAACTACTTTTTATATATGGGTCTGACAGCTTTTCCAAGGATGGTTGGAACTTGCAGAAGTTAATTAGTATATCAGTTAATGAAAATTATTTTTGAAGTCTTTCTGTGCCTCTGCTGTGGGCGTGGTCAGGGTTACCTGCACAGAATTACCAGGATTAAATAGAACTGTACTTCTTTGCTGGCTCCACCTCTATCTCCTCTGCGCTGCTGGAAGCTCACACTTGCCAGGCTGGTATGTGAAAGTGTGCGTATGCGTCAGCATATAGTGTACCCTACCCATTCAGCCCTACATGTTGGAGTTTGCCCCATCTGATGGATGATCGTGACCCAATGTGGGGACAGGAGGGGAGTCTTAAGCCTCCTTGCTGATACTCAAAGTCTATCTGTAGCTGATGATGTAGATTGTCAGCCACAAAATTCCAGCAAGAATCTGAAGGAGCGATGAGATGTCATTTTATCAGACTTCCATCTACCCTTTCCAGTGTCTTGTTCTTCTCCATGACCCTCTGACCTGCATCCATGGAGATCATTATCTCCATAGGTTTTGCTATGAAAAGTGAGTGTTACCGTTGCTCTGAAGTGGTCAGATTCAGGACCATCCTTAAGCCAGTCCAGTAGCTAACTTGTAAAATAAGCTAGATTTATCTGCTCTGTACATGCAAGTCTGTTGCTTCTTGAGTGGGATTTTTTATGTTTAAATTAGATTCCATCAGTTGGTTTGTTGTGAATAAAAAAGAAACCTCTTAAAACTGAGAAGCTGTCACCGTTTAAGGCTGGGCTGGCTCTTAAAACGGGTGGCAGACGCTCTCTGTTAACCCCCTCCCTCCCCCCAGGAGGGGAAAGGACGGAGAAAAGGGAGAGAGACTTATGGATTGGAAATTAAAACTGCTTTAATAATACAATAATGATGGAAAAAATAGTATAAGGTATTAATACTAGTAGTACTAATAGTGGAAATAAGAGGCAAAAGTATACAAGACTGATACTGAGTGTCCCGATGACGATGACGGTTAGGGGATTGCAGGCTGCAGGCCACAGTCCCCAGAGGCTCGGCCTCTGCCACAGCAGGGCGGGCACCCGGATGTCATGGACTGGACTCTGCAGCTGACAGGAACCAGATTCAGGAATGCACGGATCGGGGTCGGAGGCAGGAGAGCCAGCAGGGTCCCACAGGGATGCCGGCCATGAAAGAAGAGAGAGAGACCCCCGTGATCCCTTAGCTTTATACTGAGGATGACGTGGATGGGATGGAATACCTCGTTGGTCAGTTTTTGGTCACCTGTCCCGTCTGTACTCTTCCGCAGGTGCGACCCTTTTACGATTTTTTTTACTCGCTTAACAAAAGAAGGCCAGCAGTGGCCTTGGTTCTCATGGGGATAAGCATAAACATGGGCCATTCTGCATACCAATCCTACTGATACTTCAGTAGCAACTATAAACATCGAGCGTTATCAGGTCTGAAAAGCAGACAGTGTCGGAAAAACATGTAGCTGTACTTTGAGAAAGTGCAATTACT